TATAGACAATGATTCATAAAATCATTTACTAATTAAGTAGACAGAATGTAGTAACCCCAAAGTGGAGGTGCAATCAGGATGCAAACAGAAATATGAGGGCGGGGAAATATTTTAAGCTGTCAAAGGAAAAAGAAAAGCTAGAAGTCTACAGATATGAGCTCCACCTGCATACACACTGCCTACCATCACTGGCTGGGACTTCCTTGCTAGGCCAGTATCAGCAGAATTAACATGCCATTACTCCTGAGTCAATGGAAATGCCCCCACCCTCCTCCCACCTCCCAGCCACCAACACTGCTTCCTCCATGGGCTCTAGTGAGTGAAGATGCCTGCAGACCCCAGCCACCGAGTTTCTTCTGTCTCTGCTTTGAGAAGAAAACTAGGTTTTTCTTTGGAGGGGAAGAGCCATGGAAAACTAAATTTGTGTTTTCCTTTAGATTCGGTGCTTTCCTGGGGACCCTACCTGTACAGCATGGTAAGTTGATGGGTCATCACCTCTGTACCCCCTCTCCCCATGACCAAAAATTTAGTTGACCTCTCCTGGCTCTGTCCCCAGGCAGGATGAAGCTAGCTAAATTTTAGCCTGTGAGGTTGGCACTGCTCCTTAGGGAATCAAATTGGAGACCCAGACAGCTTTCCTGCTTGCCTGGCACTATGTGGCTGCCTTTTTCTTTTTCCTTTTCCTAATAAACCTGTTCTTTTAAAATGTTAAAAAAAAAAAAATTGGAGACCCTAGACACCAGCTGTCTTTGGAGACAGTTACCCCATTTCTTAAGGAACACACATTTCTAAACCTTCTAAACCTCCCAACCTTTTATCATAACAATTTTCAGGTATATATATATAGAAAAGTTGAAAGTCGCCTGTGAACACCCAGATACCCATCAATTCTTGTCAGCTATTTTGCTGTATTTCGTCCATCGTGTCTGAGTGCTTGCTGGGGTGGCCTCCTTCCTACTCTTCTGTTACCCATGCCTAACTGTAGCAGTGCCAGTTGTCTCTCTAAGCCAAATGAGCTTTTTTATACTTGGTTTGCTTTCCAGTCTCTTCTCGATGACAAAGGTCTAGAAGAGGTGTCTCAAGTTGCAGAGCAAGTCCTGGATGCTGTAAATAAGGGACGCTACAAAGAGGCCACAGCACTGTGGGGGAAAGCAGAAAACCTCATTGAACAGGTAAGGGGCACATAGGCTCAGCCTGCATGTCTTCTTCCTGTGGGTGGAAGGCCCCCTGGCATGGTTGTGTCAGAAATGGGAGCTATCCTGAGTCTCCCCACCCTGGAGATGATTGCATGACCAACAAAAACCCTGATGGAGTGAGGAAGACAGTGTCTGGGAGACTTGCTTGTCTCTTGGGGAAATGTAGATTCTCGGGGCCCAGGGATCCCTGGTGGCACAGCAGGTTAAAGTCTAACACTCTGAAGCTATCTGCAGCCACTGCAGCATGAGTTCTGGGAGCAGGGAGCTGACCCACATGGCGCGGCAGATCTCTCCTGTCTCACTCACTGCTCCCCTCAGCAGTGTACTTTGTCCATCTGCCTGTTCTGTTCCCCGCTATGTCTCTGGTGAAGCTTCTCACCACCACCCCATGGCCCCACACCCCTGGCCTGTACCCCTAGTTGAATGAATGAATGACTCTCGAAGAAACAATGTCTTACAAGGGTGTGTGCAACCTTATTGGGATCCTTGCTGACCACAGTAAGCCAGGAGGACAAATGGACCAGCTGAGGAATTCCTTGTGTAGGGCCCTCTCCGGTTGTCTCGTGCAGTGACTGAACTCTGCTGGTGTGAGGCACTCACAGGCCCAGGAGACTGGGCTGACGCTGCTGACCACAGCACCTTCAGCACTGCCTTTCTGGTCCCGACAACTCAACAGAGTTAAGGCTATTCCTGGATAAGACCGGCCAGGTGCCTTTCTGACCTGCAATATTGATCCTGGATCAAAAAGGAAGTCCCCAATATACTTCTCTATTGCAGAACACTGATGGGGTGAACTTCTACAACATCTTAACAAAAGACACTCCCATGTCAGCAATGAAGTCGAGTCTAGAATTCACCCAGAGCCACTTAGGTGAGTGAACCCTGAAGTTGTTAGACTGGCTCAGATTCTAAACAACACGAAGCCCATCTTGTTTTTTAAAATTTTTTAAAGTGATGTATTGTTTACATGCCATAAAATTGACCCATTTAAGTGTATTGGTTTTTATATTGTTCACAGTACTGTGCAGTGACCTCCAGAGTCCACTTTCAGAAGGTTTCTGTCACCCCAGAGAGACTCAACATGTCTGTGTGCAGTGGGTTGTCTTGCCCACTCAGCCCCAGGCGAACGCTGCTCTGCCTTCTGCCTTCACTCATGAAATGTCCATTTTATGTCAATGGAATCATGCAATAGTGATAGTCAGTGGAATCCTCACCGCTGGCTTCTTATGCTTAATATCGTTTTTTGGAAACCAGCCTCTACACACCAGCTTGCAACATCAACCCTGCGAAGGCTGGACTGAGAGTTACCTTTCAGCTGCCCCCACTTCTCTGGGTACTGCATGCTGGGCACCTTCTCTCAGAGGGGTATAAAGGCCTCAGCTGCTAGTGTCCACCTCTCAGCTGGTTTCCCTTTGATGTGCTCAGCGACTGTCAAGTACACAAAATGCAGCAATCACAACTAATTCCACTCACCTTTCAACATGTCTGACTTTCTTCCTCCTCCTGGGGTGAATGGAGGTGACTCTTTTCATTCCCTCCGAAAGTCACCTGCTTACACAGCATCCCCAGCGCTGGAAAGGAGACCCTCTTCATTTTCCTTCCAACCTTTTGACTCACTGTGTACCAGTTTATTTTAGTTCATCTTTGCCAGCGCCACATAAGACGCCTGCACCGAGACACCTTAAGTCAGCTCATGAATGGCCCCATCCGAAAGAAGCTCAAAATCATACCTGAGGACTGCTCCTGGGGAGGTACTTTGTGATCTAATTAAGTCATTGTAGCGCTGGAGGGTAAGAGAGGCGCAAAGTCTCTTAATTTGTAGAATGAGTTTTTGTTGGTGGTGATGGTAGAACAATCTTTTTTTTTTTTTTTTAAGATTTATTTATTTACACAAGAACCGGGATACAGGCCAGAGGTACAGGGGGTGAGAGGATTCATCAGAGACAGAGGGGGATGGGGTGCAGAACAGGCAGATCTACTGAAATACACTGCTGAGGGGAGCAGCAGGTAGGTCAAGAGAGGTCTGCCGCGCCATGTGGGTCAGCTCCCTGGCTGGGGATTGAACTCAGGGGCTGTGGATAGGTTCATAGTGCTGTGCTTAACCCTTTGTACCACCAGGGAGGCTCACAACAATCTTTCTTATCCACATTTTGTAGAAGTACAAACAAAAATAGAAGCAACAAATACAAATCAAATTAGTTGAACAGAAGGGGTTGGTAAAGGAGAGAAATGAAGTGATTGGTTATGACCAGGTAATTACTAGTTACATGGGAGTCGTCACACATTTTTAAATCAGTTTGCAGTTACCCATAACAAAAGGTTGAATATAAAAGGCAGTCCCAAGCTACAGTTGGTTGGGGGGGGTGACTTCCTTTTGGGCTGATTTTGTCCAGCTCTGGCCAGCCCAAGCACCCTGATGCTGGATGTGGCCTGCTGCCCTGCACGCTCATCTGAAGATCAGGAGCTGGGGCTGGGTTGAAATCTTGGGTAAGTTCCTGCTCAGTCCCGTAGGAAAGGGACATCTGGAGCAAGCGGGATTCCCTGGATCCAGAGGAGAAACCCTCCAAGCTGGGGTAGTTTCATTTGTATCAGAGACTCTCCAAAACGGTGGGCATTAGGCCCTTCTCGGGTGGCCCCTTGACAATGGCTGAGAAGCTGAGACTTGGCTCTGGCCCTGGGTTTGTCGTGGGACACAGGGTGCTTATCCCATCTACACTCAGCAGAGGACTCATCCTGGGCCTGGTGTCTTCATATTTCCCTCTCTGAGTTTTCTAGAAATGAAGAAAAGGTAGACTAGATCAAATAAAAATACAGTGTCATGACTGAAGGGGTGGGTACAGCCGTGGAAAGCTGTGCCACGGAGGAGAAAGAGGTGACATTGCAGGGCCCCAGATCCAGATGCAGTTCAAAGGAGCACCTGTTTTCAGCTCAACCCTTTCATTTTCTTTTCATGGTAGTGTCTTCCAACCCCAGCTTCCCTGGTTTAGCGGCCCAGCACGGTGAGACAGGGAAGGGGACTCCATTCTGCAGATGATGACTGACAGAGGAAACTGTGTGACTCATACATCTGTGACTCCAGATGGGTCCTCATACGGTCTAGAAAGGAGAAACTGACCTTGGCCATACCCCTGGTGTCTTGAGTTTCAATCTGCAGTTAAGCCCATCCAGACCTGCGTTCGTATTCCAGCTTGCCATTAACTAGATCTTTCACCCTGGGTGTGTTTCTTAGCCTCTCTGAGCCTCATTTTCATCGACATTGCACAATTAGGACTGCCTCTGAGGGCAGTGATGAAGAGGGGATGGTATGTTGCTTGTAAAGTGCCTGCTTAGGACAGGGATTTGCCAATGAAAATAAGGACAGCTGTTATTGTTATTGTGACTCAGTATTGTGCTGGTGATGACGATGTTGGTGATGGTCAGGAATCCAGCAGGAATGCTGTGCTGGCCATTTCTCTTGCCTGGGGCTAGCCATCCCGTGGCTTTGCTGAGGGCAAGCTCTGAGTTGGTGTCACTTGGCATATAACTAGGGTGACCCCACTTGTTCAGAACTTAAAGTTGGCCCTGGCATTGCTCAGCAACATTGGCCCCCAGAGCAGTTTGTTCCCTGAAAGCAGCAGTCTGTAGAGTACTCTCTGACCCTCTCTGCTTCCTGGGGCTATGGCACAAATTGCAGTGCCTCATGACAGGTGACAGTTGCTTTCTCACCACTCGAGTGAACAGAGCTCATGGTACATTCCCTTTCTATATGACCAGTTCCAGGCGCTCGCTGGGCCAGTGGATCCTGTCTTTGTTCGGGGTCACACACTGGATACTATTCCATCTTTTTCCTTCTCCATGTTCAGCCCAGGCCACCAGCGTCTTTGTGAACATGCAGGGGGACTTCATGAAGCCTGTCATCAACATCGTGGATGAGTTGCTGGAAGCCGGCGTCAATGTGACTGTGTATAATGGACAGCTCGATCTCATTGTGGACACTATGGGTAGGCACTGAGGGGCAGCCGGAGGCAGTTGCATGGGTGGGGCTGGGAGGGAACTGGCTACACACACGTCAGTCTTGTGATGGAGTCATTGAAGTGCCAGGTGGGAGGCCAGCTTGTGTTCTGTCCATCTAACCCTGACTGTGACTCTCTGGTGAATTCCATCTTTTTTTTTATTTGTACATACAGAACTGTGGTACAGGCCAGAGGCTCAGGGGCGGTGAGAGGATTCACCAGAGACAGAGTGGGGAGCAGAACAGGTAGATCTACGAAGCACACTGCTGAGGGGAGCAGTGGGCGGGTCAGGAGAGGTCTGCCACACCATGTGGTCACCTCCGGGGCAGGCGGGAATCGAACTCATGCGGAGGTGGCTTTAGCTTCTCAGTGCTGTGCTTTAACCCGCTGCGCCACCAGGGAGGGCCCGTCCTTCCATCTTTTAAAGCAATTAGATATGATTAAAGAAAAGAAGAATATCTGTGTTCAATTTAAATTGTGTGGCCTGAACAAATACACTGTTTTCTTTTTAAAGATTTATTTATTTGTGCATACAGAACTGGGGTACAGGCCAGAGGCTCAGGGGCAGCGAGAGGCTTCGCCAGAGACAGAGTGGGGAGCAGAACAGGCAGATCAACAAAGTACACTGCTGAGGGGAGCAGCGGGCGGGCCATGTGGTCACCTCCGGGGCAGGCGGGAATCGAACTCATGTGGAAGTGGCTTTAGCTTCTTGGTGCTATGCTTTAACCCGCTGCGCCACCAGGGAGGGCCCAAATACATTGTTTAATTGAGGGGAAACATCATTTTTGTGTGCCACTGTAGGTGGTACACACCACAAGGTGAACAACAGCAACCCTTCATGCTGTGTTTTCCACTCCCATCGTATTCTCAATTCTGGCTGCCATTGGGCAGGTTGAGGCAGGCTCAAGAACCCGCAGACAGTTGAGCCCCTGGTTTTGGGACTACGATGTGCTTCTGGAAGTTGGCAGGATTGAATATTTTTGTGACTTGCAAGTCCAGGGCACTAAGGACAATTTAAAGACATTCTGTTTTGACCTTGAACTGCCCAGGTGATCCACTGTGGCATCTCTGTACCTCTGAGACTTTATCCTGCCAGCCCTGTTGCTTTCCAAGGTGCCCAGTATTTTCTTTGCACAGAACATAGGCATTGAGGGTGTCAGGAAAAAAAAACAGGTGTGTGTCACAGCTACTAGGTTTCTCCTTGTCATCTGGGTGTCACTGGGAGCTGATCAGAAGTGCAGATCTTAGACCCCACCCAGCCATACTAATCCTACTAACCCGATTTTTCATTTTAACAGGTTCCCAGGTTGACCACGGTGCAAATTAGGAAAATGCCAGGGGTGGAACTGGATTTTTCCATTCTGTGCAGCTGTTAATGCCTGGCTCTTCTTTGTCCCTCTTGCCAGGTCAGGAAGCCTGGGTGCGGAAACTGAAGTGGGCAGAACTGCCCAAATTCACTCAGCTGAAGTGGAAGGCCCTGTACAGTGACCCCGAATCTTCAGAAACATCTGCTTTTGTCAAGTCACATAAGAATCTGGCTTTCTACTGGATTCTCAAAGCTGGGCACATGGTGAGTGTCAGCCTGACTATGAGTCACTCTGAGGAGGCAGCCACAGGCAGTGGGTGATGCCATGTGCCTGGCCTGGGGCGGTCTTAATGCTGCTCTGTGACAGGGCGAGTTTCAAGGTCACTAATGAAATTCTGCTACTAATGCTTCATTGTTCTGAGGCTAGAAATTCTCATTTTATATCTCAGAATCCTCCTGAGAGAGTTAAGTTGAGCTCTTTTTTCTTTCCTCTTTAATTTAAATGAGCATCATGTTATATTCTTTTTCACAATTTTTGTTTTAAAGGAACAGTTTGTCCTGGGAAAGAATAGGGAAATTGTCTCGTCTTGCCATTTTCAGGGAATGAAAACAACGGCTTGGGACACTGGAAAGCTGAGTTGCTAGGGCACGGAGAGGTGAGGGATGTCTTGGAGCACCAGTGGCTCCAGAATCTCAGTTTGGAAGAAGCTTGGGGTGCAAAGGAGGGCAGTGAGGCTATACCACCCCTGCGTTTGCAGAATGAACATACTCTTTGACCTCAGAGTGTATGTTGACTGAGCAGCTTTACAGAAGCCAAGGAAGATTATGAAGGGTTAAATCGGCCCCTTTGTCCCCTGCTCCCCCGCCACACACCTACAGAGGAGGGGAAGGGAGGAATGACAGAAGGTAGGAGGACTCAAGACAACTCCTTCATGGGCACGCTTTGGTCTGGAGGCACTAGAATTCGGTGTCTTTTCTTCCCAGGATTGTGGTTGCCTGGGCAAGATGAAGTGAGACACGAAGGAGCCCTCTGGTCTGCTCTCGGCCTTTGGTTCCATGTTCCTAGGACAGACTCTCCTTAGAGAAAAGACTCGAGGGAGGACGCTGGCTGAAAGCGGACCTACAAGGCTGGCCTAAAAGCTCTTGGCACAGCAAGCAGAGTGTATTTACTTGGCTGGTTGAGGAGCTCACGGAGACTGGGGTGAAGGCTAGAGTGCCTTGTCCACATGCCACTCTTTAGGGCTGCTAGTGGTTCTCAGTTGGGGTATCCCCACCCTGAGGACTTCAGGAGATATTCTGGTTGTTACTTCAGGAAGTGTGCCGTTGGCATCCAGTGGACGGATGCTGGGGAGCCGGGACATACCTGCCATGCCCAGGACAGCCTCCAGGGAACTGAATGCTCAAAAGTCAGTTGTATCAGCGTTGAGCTCGGGTATTCAACAGCCTTGCTCTGACAGTCCTCAGGGGTCTGGCGGGGGATAACTAATATTAACCTTCTTGACCTTTAGTCTTCTTTTAAGAACTTCCTGGAAATGGAATGTTGCAAGCTTTAAGCGAAACCAGTTTCTCTTTGGTCCCTTTGTTTCACGACCAAACATTTGAATGTCTGTGTAGCTGCTTATCACTGTCCAGGTGCCGGGAACACACAGGTGCATCGCCGGCTCTGGCCTCCAGTTCCAGGGCCGGCGGGCAGACAGGCAGAGACTCTTAGGAGCAGGCAGGAAATGCTAAGATGGGGTGGCCAGGGAAGGAGGCCCAGCCTAGGCTTGGGATCTGGAAGAGTAGGCCCTGAATGGTGGGCAGGAGTTTGCCAGGTAAGGGGAAGGGGAGAGCAGGGAGTGTGGAGAAGCTCTGAGCCAACCCAGGCCTTGGAAGGGTCACTGGGGAGAGGAGGCTGTTAAGGGATCCTGCCTAACATCTTCAGGAAAACAGCAGGTGCCACAGAAGAGGTTTTAAGCAAGAGTGGAAGTACCCGTTTTGAAATAACACTCTAGCTGCAGAAAGCATGCAGAACTGGGATAGAGAGTGGATCTGAAGAGTTTTTACAGGAATCTCGAGAGAGCAGTGAAGAGATCTGATGGTGTCAGATCTGAACTGGCCCAACTTGGTAACAGTTCACCTATAGAGCACTAAGAGGGGTGTCCACAAGTCAGTCAGTACATAAATTGAGCTATCCAGAGTCAGCTATTTATCCTTGGACACAGAGATTCGGGAGACTTTTCCATATCTGTAGAAGTCTGAGAATAGCACCCAGGGTTCACCAGTATTTGAGACAGGAGGCAAAAAAAAGACCCTACAACCCATGGAGAAAGGAACAGCCAGAAAAGTCAGATGAAGCCTGTAGGTGTGACTTTGCCAGCAGAGGACCCTGTGATGGGATGCCGCCGAGCGGGCGGGCGGCACTGAATTGGCCATGATCTGGTCGCACCGATGTCCATGGTACCCATGGCGAGCATTTTCAGTGGGATGTCGGGCTCAGAGCCAGCATGGGAAGGTTGGAGCAAATGCATGAGTCACAAGAGTGAGGAGACAATAACTTTCTTTAAGAGTCTAGGAGGAAGTAGGCCACGCTTTAAAGAAAGGTGATCCGGAGAGAGAGTGAGCACAGCAGCCAGCTGACATGGGGTTTGGAGGATTATGTCCTGGCTCTCGGTGTCTGAGTTCCTTCTGTTATCAATTGGGAAAAGGCTAGTAGGAAGTCAGACAGAATAAGAGATCTGTTGGGGGCAGCCTTAAAATAGCACTTGGTGTCGGTTATTAAAACATCCCCCAGCGGCTTCCCCTTTAGCTGATTAAATGTCGACTCTGTCTTCCCCACCGAGCCTGAGCCTCCTGGGGACCCTGCCTGGCAGGAGAGTCCAGGACAGGATTGAGCCACAGGGAACAATGGAACCACTGGAACTTCAGGATTTAGAATTCCATCTGTTGTTCAGCCCACATATTTATAGAGGAGGTAGTGGTAGTGAGGCTTCCTTTAATGATAATGAGAAGGAGATTCTTTATTTTATTTTTAATTTAATTTAATATATATTTTGTATCATTCTTCCTTTTTGTACACTGCATGGTGGGAAGAAGTTGTTTTTTTTTAAGATTTATTTATTTATACATATAGAACTGGGGTACAGGCCAGAGGTGCTGGAACCATGAGAGGATTCACCAGAGACAGAGTGGAGAGCAAAACAGGCAGGTTGACAAAGTACACTGCTGAGGGGAGCAGTGGGCGGGTCAGGAGAGGTCTGCCGCAGGGATCAGGGCGGGCAGGGATCGAACTCATGCTGCAGTGGCTTTAGCTTCTTAGTGCTGTGCTTTAACCCCCTGCGCCACCAAGGGGGCCCGGGAAGGAGGTTTCTTAAAAGGACTTATTCTAAAACTTTAGGGGAAAACAAAAGAAAATTAAATAAGCAAGATTTATTTATTTATGCATACAAGAACTGGTGTGTAGGCCAGAGATGCAGGGGGTGAGAGGATTCACCAGAGATTGGGGAACAGAACAGGAAGATGTAGTGAAATTCACTGCTGAGGGGAGCAGTGGTTGAGACAGAGAATCTGCTGGACCATATGGGTTAGCTCCCTGGCTGGGGATCGAACTCCTGCTGCAGTGTCTGCAGGTAGCTTATAGAGCTGAGACTTAACCCCTTGTGCCAACAAGGAGGCCTCAAAAGAGTCTTACTTGTATTTGTTTACTGACTTGCTGTTTTTCTCTCTCAGCCTGTTTTTTACTCCATTCCCAGTCTGGGATCCCTCTTGCTACATAGGGAATATTTAAACACATCAAGAATCTTCCTTCTCCCTTGCACTAGCTGGGTCCTATTTACATAAACATAGCCCTTCTAAAGAACTCAACAGATCAGCCCCAGGGGAAGTAGAAGGATTTTCCCCAAATGCAGACTTGTATGGCCTCTGCCACCCCAACACGGTTGGTGCCCCCAAGAACCTTTGTCTAGTGTAGGGGTCATTTCACAGGAAGGGCTCTCTTTAAGGGATACAGCCAGACACAGCCATCCTCCCAGGTGGCCGTCAGAGTTGGTACTTCTGGGAGCAGTGCCTCAGGGTACACCCTTGAACCCAGCCCAGCAGCAGAGCAGGGAGTGCTAACTTGAGTTCTGCTTGTTCTAGGTTCCTTCTGACCAAGGGGACATGGCTCTGAAGATGATGAGGCTGGTGACTCATCAAGAATAGGGTGGCTGGGCCGGAGCTGAGCCAGAGGGGCCTCGGGGCCAAGGCACTGCGTGAGTGCCGGAAGCTGTGGGCACCGTCTCCCCTTGCACTGGCTTGGGCTGTGATTGTGACGCTTCCTGCTAGCTTCCTTGGAGAAGGAGCTCATAGTCTCTGTGGCCACTTGGAAATCCTTTCAGCCTCTGACAGACCTAAGATTTTTTTTTAATGGCTTTGTTTTCATCAAAATGAAGGGTTGAAATAGATTTATTTTATCTTACTACAAAATCAGATTATGTGATTTGTAGAAAACAAGGGACACGAGAAAATAAAAATAAACAACCACATCTCCCTCCCCAGAGATAAACACTGTTACCTCTTTAGTGCATATCCCCACAAATTTTTCTTTGCAACATATACAGATCTTTGGCCCCTGAGGGGGTCACGTTCCAAGAAACTCCAATGTAAGCTGAAAATGCTTTTAGTATATCTAACCAACCAAACACTGTAACAGCCTCATCGGCCTTCAACAGGCTCAGGATACTTACATTAGCCTACAGTTAACCAGAATCATCTAACATAAAGCCTATTACATCACGAGACAGAGTAGCTTAATAATTTACTGACTTGTACAAAGAATGAGAAACAGTGGTGGGGTGGGTTCTTGCTATTTACACACACAGCTGGGTGTGGGCTGGGCCTGAGAGTGTTGGAACTAAAATGAAAGGCTGAATGATGGGGAGGCCACAGCAACAGTGACATCAGTTTCTCGCTTCTGATGACTCTCAAGACTAACTAGCAGCAGAACCTGGAGTATTGGTTCACTGGCGATGGCTTGGCTGCTGGGGTCTGCAGCTCACTGCCACTGCCCAGCACCAGGAGACGAGTCAATCTACTCGTCACTGTCCCAGGAAAAGGTCAAAATCCAAAGTGCGGGTTGTCCTGAGAGCATATAGCTTTCAAACCATTGTAAAACCAAGAATTGTAAACATATATATTTTTTATAAAAATGAATTCATCACTATGTAATTTCACTACCTACTTTGTTCACACATCAATCTGTCCTAAACTGTTCATGTCAATAAAGAGTTTTCTGTAACATTTTTAATGATGGTTGAGCATTCCATTTTATGGAGATACCTTATCTCACCTACCACATGCCCAGTTGTTATCTGTAAGCAACTTCTAGTTTGTTACCTTTGTCAATGGTGCTCTGGTATTCTGGTATCTTGATTGTTACATTTTCATGTACATCCTTAATTTGTTTACACTAAGTTGCTAAAAGCATAATCATTCAGTCAAAGGATTAGTCAACAGTTCTTTAAATTAAACGAGTTTAGGAGAGTTCTTTTTTTAAGTCAAGACTGCAAGTTCTGCGTAAGGGACCTTGGCAGCTTCTGTGCAGGCCCCAAGGAAACATCCTCTCCTGTAGTGGCTGGGCTGAGGTTCTGAAAACCAAAGTCTGCTCAAAGAGGAACAGCAGGTTATGCGTACCTGTCCATGACCTCGAGACTCTCTGAAGTAGGCATCCTTGGGCAAGGCCGGCACACTGCACACCCACGGCTTGCTTTTGGAAAGGAGCATTCTGGGTGCCCTCATCCGGGACGAACAAGAGAGACCCACGCTGGATCCTGCTGAAGCTCAGTGCATGTTCTGCTTGTGCCAGGTATCCTTTTCTGGAAAAAAACTTTATGTATGAGCATAATTAGTTACTAAGTCTTGTGAGTTCTGACAATGAATTACAAATTGAACTCCCAATCTCACAGGGTTTCTTTTGTTAGAATTTAGGGCACAGGTTGGGAAGGAAGTCAAGTCTACACATTAGAATGTGGGCAGATTCCAGTGAACGTAGGGACCCCAAAGCACCTCAGCACCAGCGGCAGCCTGTTCTTCCCCACCTGCACAGGTTACTCTCCGCTCTGAGATTCTGTGATCAATTCCCAGACTTGCCCAAGCCCCGCTTCCTCCCCATCACTTTCTCTCAGACCACACCCATCTGCACAAGAATTCCTTATGATCTCTTTACCAGGAAGAAAAGTCGGGGCTGGGCAGAGGTAGTTGTGCGTGGCTTGCACCCATGGCCTGTGAGCGGCAGCGCCAGGGCCCCTCTAGGACCACTCTAAAGCGGTGCAGCGAACAGGGCCTGAGCAGTGCACTTGCTTGTTCATTCTGCCTGGAAGGAGAGAGGATCCGAATTTGGATCTCTACCAAGTCATGGTTTGGCTTGGGCAGTCAGACTTGGAGGGAACACACAGGGAAAGCTGGTGACACGGCCCGGGGAGGACAGGACCACGGGCCTGGGAGGCAGTGTGAAGACGTGTGTGTTCCACATGAGCACTCACCAGAGGGTAGCAGGAGAGTTCAGTAACCAAGGTGGACAGGGTCAACCCCGTCTGGCTCTCAGAGCCCCCCTCAGTCCACTTGTGTGGACTTGTGAACAAAATGGCTATGACGATAGGGAGGAGGTGACACTTGGGTGAGCATCCCAGATCGCACTCACCAAGGCCGACGCAGCGACTGCTGAGTGTTCAGTCTGCTCACAGAAGGAACAACACTCAGCCACAGATACGGCACCATGGCCTGAAGGGATAGCCAGCTACCTGGTGTTCGCTTGATGGCATTGGACAACTTTCATGATGGAAGAGGCCGCATGTTCTTACTGAACTGACACTTTCTCTGGACAGAGATGTGCCTTCCCTACCTACAAGGCTTCTGCCAAAGCTGCCATCTGTGGCCTAAAAGCCTCGTCCACCATTGTCGCATTTATTCACAGCAAATGAAATGCAGCCGGGACTGCACGCGCCTGGAGTTCACAGGTTGTCCCGTGTTCCCCGTCATCTTGAAGCAACTAGCTGAGGTGCTTGAATGACTTTTGGAAGATTCAGGTACAGAGCCAGCGAGACAGTGGGGGCACAGGCTGGGCACAGTCCTCTGGATGTACTATATGCTCTAAAGCGTCTATTTCACCGGGACCCCCAGATTTGGGAGTCCAGGAACCAAGAGAGAAAAATGAAAGTTCCCACTCCTGGGCTAACCCTAGTGGTCCTGCAGTAAAAAGTTTGCCCGTCATCCTTGCAGCTTTAGCCCTTGCTGGTCTAGGGGCCTTTGTTACAAAAGGAGAAATGTTTTCACCAGGAGACACAGCAAAGTTTCCAAAGAACTGGCACTTGAAACTGCCATCTGGCCCTTTGGCACTGAATAACAGGCAGAAGAGCTGCTGAGGTGATTGATCCTTACCACCCAGAGGAAACTGGTTATGTCACAAAGGCAGTCAGAGAGGAGTGTGGAGAGAGGGCCTTTGCCCTCCCTAAGGTCTGGTGGAACTGGCCACCCCCCAATTTAGACTGCTAAGAGTCCAGCCCTTCACATAGTTCACACAAGGTGCATGCTGGGGACAAAAAATGTGGAGAAGGTAGTGGATGGCAGTAGTTTAGCTATGGCCTTGTGACCAGTTATAGAAAGGAGGACTCTAATAGTTACATTGCTTTAATGTGAATATATGTTGGGTTTTTTAAAAGATTGTTTTATTTATGCATACAAGAACTGGGGTACAGGCCAGAGGTGCAGGGGTAGTGAGAGGATTCACTAGAGACAGAGTGGAGAGCACACTGAACTGACTGAAATACGGTGCTGAGAGGAGCAGCGGGTAGGTCAGGAGAGGTCTGCTGTGCCATGTGGGTCACTTCCCTGGTAGGGATCAAGCTCATGCTGCAGTAGCTGCAGAGAGCTTCACAGTGCTGTGTTTCAACCGGTTGCATCACCAGGGAGGCCCCTGTGAATATATTTTGATAAACATTAAACAAATATTTTTCATCTCTTCTGTCATCCAGTTATCTAACTTATGATGAACTCAGGATAAATACCTACATGTAAGGATTAAAGTTACAAACTGTCAGAAAGGAAGTGTGAATCAGGGAGAGTGAATATGGTCTAGACAAAAGAGTGACCCTGGGCCCTTCCTGGTGGCGCAACGGGTTAGAGCACAGCACTATGAAGCTATGGCAGCCACTGCAGCACAAGTTCAAGCCCTGTCAGGGAGCTGACCCACATGGTGCAGCAGACCTCTCCTGTCTCACCAGCTGCTCCCCTCAGCAGTGTATTTCACTCCATCTGCCTGTTCTGTTCCCCACTCTGTCTCTGGTGAATCCTCTCACCCCTGCACCTTGTCCTGTACCCCAGTTCTGTACGCATAGATAAATCTTAAAAAAAAACAAAAAAACAGTGACCCTGATGCTGTCTTTGGGGGAAAGTTAGTGTGATCTTGCTTGTAAGAAGGACAAGTGTGTCATATGTCAACTGAAGTGTGACTCCTTGATTGTCTCTGGACACTCAGTGTGGTTTGAGAAAATGTATGGTGGTAAGGGCTGGCCTATGTTGTCCTTGTCATGTCTCAGCTTGCTTAGGCCTCACTACGTTTTCCAGAATTACCTTTCCCACTAATTCTGATTAGAATGATTCCACAAGATTAGAGTGCTGTAGAGATTTGGGGACAGAAATGAGGCAGAAGACATCTTAGCTCAACCGTGCTGCCATTTACCTCCTGACTCAGCTCATTAGCAGTCAGCCCTGCAGCTACCCCATGTTCCCTTGGAAAGTCCTGGACATCTCCCCTCACCTACCCCTTCCCCCCCTCCACACACACACACCCTGTAGTGAGGCTGCTTAGCTCTGTGGTGAGGAACCCAACACCTGGTTTCTGCCCCAAGGCTGCCCTCTAGACTCCACCTCCTGCTGTGGGGTTGGGATTGTGCTTCCTCCTTTCTTTCTGCTTTGCATCTTTGCCCTTCATGACCAGTTGCCCTGTGTGCTTCAAACTTCAGCGTCAGACCTGAGGAAACAGCCTTAGGAAGACGGCCTTCCAGCTTCCACACTGAGTCAACCCCTAAAACACACACGCATGCACAACACCCACGTGTGTGCACACTCTGGCTCCCCTGATGAATCCTGACTGATGAAGCTATTTATAGATTTTTTTTTTAAGATTTATTTTTACTTATGCATACAAAACTGGGTACAAGCCAGAGGTGCAGGGGCGGTGAGAGGATTCACTAGAGACAGAGCGGGGAGCAGAACAGGCAGATCAACAAAGTACTCTGCTGAGGGGAGCAGCGGGCGGGTCAGGAGAGGTCTGCTCCGCCATGTGGTCACCTCCAGGGCAGGGTTCAAACTCATGCTGAACTGGCTTTAGCTTCTCAGTGCTGTGCTTTAACTCGCTGCACCACCAGGGAGGGCCAGAAACCATTTAAGACCTGTATGTTGTATGCTTCTTTGCTTATTCTGTGAATTGGTAACTTACGTGATGTAGATATTTGTTGTGTTTCACTAATTTTGCACGCTATTGATCAACTATGTATCACCAGCCCAGATCTTCTCAATTTATCTGTGCTTGCTGGCATGCATTTGAATATCATTATTTCAAGTTCTTTCTTATCCTGTAAGATTTCAGCCTAGGTACTTTTAGCCAAGACTGCTGTCACACTGCTACTTTATGTTTTGGGCAGCCACACTGTAAAGCTCTCCTATTTCCTGTAAGTCTCTCTGCCATGCGCTTTCACCTTGTTTCTGTTTTCTCCTTGTTTCTTCTCATTTGTTTCTTCATTTCTCATTTCCTGAGCTCTGTGTTTGCATTAGTCTCCTTGAGCAAGGTGTATTATGTTGCCCAGTGCACACCTTCCCAGGAATGTTCCTCATCTTTTGTATTTTGTGTTAATTTCTTCCATCTTAATTGTGGCTCCTTCTCCACCCTCCCCATATTTATGTTTTCCTTTTTCAATGCAATTCAAAAATTTTTGAATGAGAGCAGTTAGAAAAATCATCTAATTCCCCATCCTGATTATCTGATTATCTTTTAGATGTTCAGGTAGTTCTTATTCAGGAGAGTAGATGTGGTGGCTCTACAAGGTCTGTTTAGGCTTTCAGCTGCCTCAGGGAGGTCAGTGCTGGGATCCTGGATGGCAGTTACTGGGGACTTACTTCCTAGGGCCCACAGGGAGGCTGACCTGCCTATCAGTGGAGGCCCTCAGATTTTTTTGTGTGTTTCCTTATTTCAGGATAAACCAACCACTTTGGTAAGCAAAATTCATGAGAAACCTAAGGACTCCACTGGATGGGTATACAAGTGAGCTATTACCACATGATAAAGACTTAATGACTTCAAACAAAATATACACCTGACAGTTTCCCAAGGCCAGACACCTGGGCATGGCAGAACAGGGTTCTCAACTTTAGGCTCTCTCCTGAGGCCACCATCAAGATATTGTCCAGAGTTGCAGTCTTCTCAAGGCT